TCTTTTTGCTTATGTGGTGCTGAGGAATCGAACCCAGGGCCTCATGCATGCAAGGCAAGCGCTCTACCACTGAGCCACCTTCCCAGCCCCTGAAGTTTCTTTTATTTTGACTTCCATTGTTTGGGTGACTTGTTGGGGAGAGTGGTATTGAAGTCCCCCACTATTTCTTTTTTTTTTTTTTGTCAGTCATGAGCCTGAACTCTGGGCCTGGGCGCTGTCCCTCAGCTCTTCAGCTCAAGGCTAGCGCTCTACCACTTGAGCCACAGCACCACTTCTGACTTTTTTTTTTGCTTATGTGGTGCTGAGGAATCGAACCCAGGACCTCATGCATGCAAGGCAAGCGCTCTACCACTGAGCCACCTTCCCAGCCATCCCCCACTATTTCTGTGCTGGGGTCTAGCAGTGCTTGTAAGTCCAGAAATGTCTGTCTGGTGAACTTGGATGTGTTAACATTTGGTGTGGGTATTTGTTCTTCATTAACTTCTCCCTTTATATGAAGTCACCTTCTTCTAAAAGCAAAAAGAACAGGAACTTACTGCTTCGTTGATGGCTTTGATGTGGTAAAGAGAGTCCTTATAAAAGTAAAACAGTCTAAGGACACCTGAAACAGAGACACAGGTGGGGGGTAAGCCAGGGGGCCGCTGCTCCCCTGCCTGCCCCTTCCTCCAGCCTCCCCTGCAGCCCAGGCCGCCCCCTCCCGGGTCCCCTCTGCTGGCCTAAGACTACCTGCATCCCCCACATGCCTCCAGGGCGCACATCTGCCACCCCAAAGCACCCCTTCATTCCACACCCTGCTGGCTTCAGTCGTTTCTGCTTCTCCCTGTGCTGAGCCGAGCTCCTCCTGCCAGTGCAGTCTCTGAGCCTCGGCTCGCCTCAGCCAGGAGGCTGCTCCTGCCTGGAGCTCTGCCCACTCAGCCACTCCAGCATTCCGCTTCCCGCCCCATCCCAGTGTGCCGAACCCACACACTGCGACTTAGCGCCAGACATCCAGATTTACCTTGGCAGCCAAGACAGAGAGCCCATAGAGGCACCTGTGGGGGAACTCATCCGTCTAATTGGACCTGATGAAGGTCCGTGGGGCCCGTGCTCCATGCCAGGGGAGGACGCCTCCGATTCCTCATCGTGAGGGCTGGCGTGTGCAAAACAAGTCCTTTCTCTAGACCTACTCCTGCCACGGGGGCATCAGCATTCCCACAGAGACAGCCTCCGGCTGAAGTCCACACGCACCCCACTGCAGTTCTTACCCAGCAACGTGGCTGTCCTCTCCAGTGGTGCCAGGCCGGGGAGGGGCAGGGAACCCCCTTTCTCTGCACCCCACTCATGCCATTCGTCACCCACTAAGTTTTTTTTTATTGTATTTTCCTCTCGCTTATTTGTTGTTCTTGTTGTTGGTCCGGGGGCTTGAACTCAGAGCCTGGGTCCTGGATCTGGGCTTTTTCACCCAAGGCTAGCACTCTACCACTTTGAGCCACAGTGCCACTTCTGGTTTTCTGGTGGTTCATTGGAGGTAAAAGTCTCATGGACTTTCCTACCTCGGCTGGCTTCCAGTGGCAAGCCTGAAGATCTCAGCTTCCTGAGTAGTGAGGATTATAGGCATGAGCCACTGGTGCCAGGTTTTTATTAAGCTTATTTTGAATTTACACTTACAGGAAAGTTGTATGAAGGTAGCACACCAAAAATTCCTTTGTGCTGCCTGCCAGTGACTTACACCTGTAAATGTTACTACTCAGGATGCTGAGAGCTAAGAATCAGGTTCAAAGCCAGCTCTGGCAAACAAATCCAAGAGATTTTGCTTTTTAATCTCCAGTTAGCCAGCAAAAAATCCCTAAGAGGAAGTATGGCTCAAGTAGCAGGGCACCAACCTTGAGCTAAAAAGCCAAGCAAAAGCACAAGGCCTTGAGTTCAAGCCCCGGCATAAACAAACAGGCTAATGTGAAACACGGGCGTCGTACCTGGCATGTCATACTCGTGCTGTCTAATTCTGGAGCCTGCCTCTACCTGGAGGGAGAAGATACTGAACACCAGCCCACAGATCCCCGTAGATCAGGCTAAAAAGGGAAATCAAAAGGACAAATACCCATTTCATCCACTGAAGCAATAAGTATTTCACTCCCCAGATCTGCAGCCCAGATGGCAGTGACATCAGCTTTAAGTTTCTCCCAGACGTATATCCGTTTAGCATTGAACAGGTGGTAGATGGAGAAGCCCTTAGTTCCGCCGATGAACAGATAGTCTTGGCAAATAGCCATGCAAGTGGACATTCTGTTGAGCTGGGAAAACAAAATCAAAGAAGAGAAAAGAAAAAAAATTATTCTTGGCTGTCTTCAAGTATGAGGAGCTCATGCTCCAAAGAGGGCCCAGGGCTCTTCCTAGAGAGGGCACCCCCAAATTGATGGTGTCTCCCTTTGAGTTGTAAGAGGCCAGAGGAAGTGATGTGCATTTCCAAGACAAAACAGGAGCACAGGCCCAAGCTCCGCTCACCTAGGACCCGCGGGAGCAGCAGCAGCTGAGGGTCTGACAGATTCTCCACCATGGAGCAAGACAATTGTATGCCTACATTAAGGTAGGTTTTCCATATCTCTAGCTGAGTGGGAAAGCACTCCTATATAATTTTCAATTAGCTAGAACACCTTATTTCCCCAGGAAACTACTACATCACTTTTCTTCAACCACAGCATTCCTACAATAGCTCAGACATGCACCAGTCTTATTTTTTTTTGTCGGTCGTGGGGCTTGAACTCTGGGCCTGGGCGTTGTCCCTCAGCTCTTCAACTCAAGGCGAGCGCTCTACCACTCGAGCTACAGCGCCACTTTGCACCAGTCTTATTAAACGAAGGTTTCCGGCTGGGAATGTGGCTTAGTGGTAGAGTGCTTGCATAGCATGTATGAAGCTCTGGGTTCGATTCTTCAGTACCACATAAATAGGGGGAAAAAAGCCTGTAGTGGCACTGTGGTCCAAGTAGTAGAGTGCTAGCCTTGAGCAAAAGAACCTCAGGGACAGTGCCCAGGCCCTGAGTTAAAGTCCAGAACTGGCAAAAAATAAAATGAAGGTTTCTGGCTGGAATTCTTCCCCTGGCTCAGGTTTTCTTATCTATCATTCACACTCAGGGGAGAGTGCATGCCCCCCCCCCATTAGCTCCCTGGTGTGTACCTTACCTGGATTTCCTCCTGCGGAGGATACACGGTAGGCCTGACCCGGTTGAGTTCAGCTTCCCTCACTGCTTCCCTCTCTTCAATAACTTCCCATATCTGGTCAAACAGGAGGTTCAGCACCTTGTTGATCATCCGGTATGGCTGTGGCAGGGAATCCAGACCCTGATCTGGGTCAAGGAAGGTGTAATCCTTCTCATCGTCCTTATGCCAGTCCTTCTCTGTTGGGGGTGGAACTTCCTGCCGCCCCTTTCTTATGAAATTAGGGAGTCTTGTCTTCTGAGCCTGACCTCCCTTGGAGGAGGACATCGCAGAGGTGGCCCTGGGAGCTTCTGCTCGCCCACGAGAAGCTGAGCACAAAGGAAGCAACAGAAATGAAGCAGGCACAGAGCGCCGAGTCCTACAAGGACTATTTGTTCCAGAGACTGGTGTACTTGATCACAGTCCTAGAACAAGACAGATGGGTCAACCCAAGGTGAAATGTGCTGTGAAGGAGGAGTGGAATTTAGAATCGTGTTGCTTTTTTTTTTTTGGTGGGGCTTGAACTCTGAGCCTTGAGCTCTTGCTTAACACCTGTCATCCAGGCCGGCCCTCTACCACTTGAGCCACACTTCTACTTCCAGCTTTTTGGTGGTTAATTTGAGAGAAGTGTCTCAGGAGAACAACAGAAGTGCACGTGTGGCCCGAGCAGTCTGACCAGCCATGAGCTCCTAGGAAAGAGCCAGGCGAGAGTACAAGGCCCTGAGTTCAAGTCCCTGGACCAGCACAAAAGAAATAAAAGGAAAAAAAAATTTCCAAAAAGTGAGCTGGGCCTCCCAGGTCATTGTGGAAGGCACATTCACCAGGCGGGAGCACAGAGCCTGGTTTATCGAGTAACTTCTGACTTTTAAACATTTGAACATCCAACATAGCGGACTGGGGCCTCATGCCACACCTCCAGACCTGTCAGGGGCAGGCGGATCTGACCCAGGGAGCAAAGGTCACAGAGGTGGACGGGCCCTGACTTTGTGCTCTGCGCCTCGAGTGGGCCGACGCTCGCTGCCCTCTTCCTCCATCCTTCGTGGAGTGTTCAGGAACCCCAAGACTCCACCAGAGCGGGCCTAGCTCCAGGGCAGGGACCCCCGCATCTCCTCAGCAAAGGCCCGGGGGTCTCGGGCTGGGGAGCCCGGCCGAAGTTCCCTTCGGCGTTCCCCCGTACTCGGGATCCCCGGGACCTCCGGCTGGAGGGGGACGGCCCCTCACATTCTCTGGAGACCATCACGAGTCTGACGGCCTTGAGGGCAGGGGACAGACGTCCGGCTCACCTGGTCTGCCGGCGGCGTGGCGTCGCCTTGGTAACCACAACTTCCGGTTCCCACCGGAAGCCCGCGAAGCGCTCGGCGATAGGCGCGTCCTCTCGTGGGCGGAGCCCAGTCCCTGCTCTCCAGGAGGAGGTGGGCGTGTCCCCTCAGTGGGCGGAGTCTCAGGCCCGCCCTCCTGGAGGGGGTGGGTGTGCCTCTCCCGTGGGCGGAGTCCCGGGCCCACCCTCCTGGGGAGGTGGGCGTGTCCCTCCAGTGGGCGGAGTCCCGGGCCCGTGGGCTCCGCCCTCCAGGGATCCGCGGCTCCCCACAGGACCCGCGGGGAGCCGGAGCGACGCGAGGGCAGGGCCCGGGCGCCATGGACGCCTTCACGCGCTTCACTAACCAGACCCAGGGCCGGGACCGACTTTTCAGGTGAGTCCGGCGCCGGGGTTCTCGGCCCGCGCCCCGCCCCGCCCTGGACTCCGCCGGCGGAGGAGGAGGT